GTATTCCCTAGCTTTCCTCCCTGGAGCCTAAGGGCCAGATTCACATAATGTGCCGATTTTCCACATTATTTTTTCATCAACAAAACTATTTTTGGGAGTAGAAAAATATACTACTTAATATGCTGACTCTAGGATCACACGTGATAAGATGTCCGGCATATATAGACTACCAGAAGGTGGAAAATATTTTTGAGAGATTTAATATCGTCTTGCACATGCAAAAGTACAACTTCGATCTAAGTTTGCAGCAACTGGGCGGACGCGAGGAGAATAGAATATTAGATGAGCATGTGCGACATATTGTGTTTTTATTTTTCTCTGCTGCATTCCTGCCCGTGATACTTCCTCTCTTGAGAGAATTTGACCGGTCCATCGTGCCTCGGGCTTTTGTTGCAATCTCATTGTTCACAGCAACACTGCCTACGGTAGTGCTCTATGCTCAGCGTAGTCAAAATCACCAAGGTGTCAGTGCACAGATCCTGCGTCAGGTGTCTTTTTCGTTCCTTGTCTTGGCAACGGCAGAGCTTTTTGTTGGAACGGTCTGCTCATACTATGGGACCCCTCCTGGGGACCCAGACACAGGTTTCGTTTACATTCTATGTGGGTGTTACGTATTTTCGAGTGTTATCTATTTCTTGATCTCGCTAGAAGACTGAAAAACCGTTCCTATGTATACCCTAGCCCTTTGTTTACAGGACCTGTCACCTGCAGTGCGTAAGGCTCATCGGTGACGAAATTGTCATTTAAAAATAGCGGCGCGCTGGCCTGGATACAGTACTTGAATATCTCATCAATTTTGCGAGGAGGGAAATCACCAATAGGTATGTCCATGAACGGCTTGGACCACGGTCAGCACACATCGATCTTCAATTCCAACGGGTGCCTAGCTGGTCTTGCTTGAAATTGTTTCAAAGTCCAAAGACGAGCTGGCAGAAAGAGCCTACAGAAATTTTGGGAAAATTTGCTTGACCGGCTCCGCGATAGGACACATGAGAGATCTTGTAATGAGCAAGGAGGCTGAGTAATTCACCTTCTATACAAAGGAGCCCTTATATGTGTGGTAATCACTAGCCACAAGGATGACCAGTAACGCGAGGGGTTATAGCATGATCTTGCGCTCGGGACTTCATTCGTCGCCACATTATGACTTGTTGAGACCTGATGATGCTGGCTGTAGATGCTGTTCCCTGAAACAGGAACTAAAAATGGTTGATGCCTTTGTCCAAGTCGCTTCAGTATACCTTGTGTCACCGAGCAGTTAGCAGACCAGGCTTGTGCCTCTATGAATTGTGCGCTAGTTGTCTATAAAACTAATAACACCGCAGATATTAGAACATACTTTAGGGTTTTGTGTCTCTCATGCATCTGGCGTTACGTCGACTGAATGTATGGATAACAGTGCATTATGGAGATATAGCACTGTGGTTGGCTCTTCACCAGGGGTCATCCGTGCGACGATCTCCCCTTTAGGCTTGGTCGGCTTCCCCCTCCTCTGCTTTTTCTGCACTTGGGTAGGTACCTAAACGTTATGACTCCAAGTAACTTTTTCCCCAGGTATCTCCTGATTCTTGAATTTTAATTTTGATTTTTCTTTGTCTAAATTTGCCTCAGCTCTCACCCGGGTGTGGCATGATTGTGACAAGGTGGATCCCCCCATCTTTCCCCCTAATGAGGTGATCGGACTTGCTCTCTTTACTGTACTAGTCTCTACTCGTCTCTAGTCTCCCTGACTGTCTGTCTGCACCTGCGTGCTGCTGCACTCCTTAGTTGGCGTGGAACTCTCTTTCTCCTCGCATTCATATTCTTTCTTATTCTTTCCCTCATCCACTTCCCATTCTTCGTCATTTCTGCAGACTTGATAACATTGCCGCCTGCCTACTCCTATAAGGCGTCAACATTTCATCAACCTTGATTGCTTTGGAAATATATCATCCTCGAGAATCCTTTTACATCCAGTCTCTTTTCTCAACTCAACCTCAACCTTGATATACATTCACTCTTCCATCCTCTCTATCTACCTCTTCCTATATCCCATCCAGTCTCAAATCAACCATCATCACCTCACATCACCATCTATCTCATCATGTCTACCGACTGGTCTCTCGACTTCTGCCTCGTCTGTGATCGCCAGACCTCCGGCGGTCCCTACTGCTCCCAGACCTGCCGACTCGCCGAGTTGGATCGCACATTGGCCGACGACGAGCAATCCTCATCCAAGGGCTCATCGCACTCTCGATCGTCCACTCTTGATTCCATCGATTCCCGATCCCCACGTAGTCTGTCCGCCTCATCGTCGCAAACCTCATTGTCTTCCCTGCGGAGTCATGCCTCCAATGCCGCCCTCTCCGGCCAGCTGCAAGATGAGCTGCGGGACTATGCCAGCTGCTTCGATCACGTCCGAGGTCTCAAGCGACGAATGACTTCCTCTTAAATGACCTCGATCTCTCTCCTCCCTCTCCTCTCCGACCGACCTTGCCGCTACCACAATGATCACTTCTTTCGCGGGCAGCGGGATGACTCGTCTAGTCTGGTCTCCCGCTATACCCCGCATTCTTGACCTCTCTTGCTCTTTCTCTCTCCCACTCTCAGCGACACATTTTTGCATACCATCGGGAAAAAACGAATCAGGCGTCTCTGTGCAGAAAGATACTTTGCACCTCCTTTTTTGGAATATGGAATTTTACGGATTATGGATTTGAAATTGTTTTTTGGAAATCTTCTCTCCCGCTCATCACGACATCTATACCCCCCCTCCGTTTGGGTACGTAGACACAACGTCGTATTAGCACATATCGCGTAATTGTTTGGCAACTAGAACGTATGTGGGCACGCTCGGTTATCAATGATTAAGAATGTCAAATGGTATTACATTGCTTTCACAGCAAACATTTCCCGCATTGCTCTCGATTCAGATACCAAAGTATCCTGAGAATGAGAGGGTGCGGTGTGAGGCAGTTGCGGAGGGATTGACGTCAGAATGGCATATCCCCTTAATCTGGGAATATCATGTGAAGCCGGACGGTGCCATGCATATTAAAGTAGCCAAATGTTTGAAACTCGATGGAGGAAGCCATAGATACTGTTGTTTGTTTCGGTAAATTGATCTAGCGCGTGTTCACCAGAGGTTGCGGCTCAGGCAGCTTCAGGGCTTTGAAATGGTTTATGCAAGGCACAACTCTAACTAGTCCACTAAAGCGCCCGTTTAATGAGCCGAACGTGTCATTGAGAGCGTTTCGCCTCTTCCGAACCGGAATATAAGCTTCAGACAGTCTCTATAAAGAGCTATAAAATCCTGCATTATCTGGCATTATTGGTTTGTTTGTAATACCTTCGATACTCTTTGATACCTCAGAATGCTTGAAACGCCACGGGCTGGATTGCCACGCACTCCTTCAAGCTCTCGGCATGCTCGATGTGAGCCTGCTGATGAGGACTCTGTGCCCTCACAGACCCCACAGCAACAGCCATCACCTCCATATCCCCATGAGTCCATCCATGACCAATCCATGGATGACGGCCTGCCATTGAATCCATCCCAGTCCATGCAAGGGATGCAGAATATCCCGAATGGCTTCTATCACTTTGTCGAATATCCCTCAGCGTCGCAGCAGTCCGACCTGATGGTGGCAGACCTCGAGCAAGGGTTCTACCAGGCCGTTGCACAGTACTTTTATGTAAGTAGCAGCCTCTGGGAACAGTTCATCGACGATTTCCTGACATGGAAAAAGGATCGTTTCTTACAACATGCATCTGGCGTGGGCAGAGCAAACATCAGCTACTTGTTCACTGCGATGCTTCATCACCAATTTCCGCATCCGAGCCCTGTTCGTAGTGACAATCACTTTATGCCCAATCAGGAGAGGAATTGATACCATATATTAACGTGCAAATATGGAAAAGAATTGGGACGTGTGAACCGATCGGAGAGGTGGTGAGATCGACGTCATGCTACATTGACATATTGCAATACTGAAGTCACGCTTGTGTGATTGTTTTGCCGTTCAAGGCGAGACCGTACGGGACGAAAGCAGAGTCGCTGTGTATTTAGTAATGAAGGAGCTCGAGCGTGTTCAATAAGCTACATCCTATGATTTCCGGTCAATATTTATACTTCCTAATTCAATTCACGAGAATAGCGTGCTGCCAAGGAAAAGTAACTGATTATCCAACTGATTTGATCCCCTTCACCAGGCTCTAGTGCAGTAACTTAACTAACTTTCCATTTAAACGATTCGGTAAAGTATACCATCAAAGAAACGTAAATCAAGCCTTATCCTGGGCAGTCATACCATTGATCTCAGGCTTCCAAGTCCATCAGCAAAAAGGAACGCTCAATCTCTCGCTGCTGTCTGAACCGTCCGTCTCTGCAACATTGATTCACTGCCATCTGTACGTGACATCCAAGAGGGACAACCTCTGTCTCCTAAAGCTTGATGTATTTTCCAACCTGAGGAGCTAGCAAGCTTTTTAGGAGAGAGTTCGCGCATTTTGTTCTGCACCAAACGTGAGGTGAAAAAATGAAGCCAGCTGGCTATGATTCCCGGACCAGGTTGAATCATAAGCTTGTGGCTCATTGCTTGAACGAAGACGTGCTGTCGTATGCTAGCGGGCTATTCGGCAAGGCGTGGACCGGCTTGAAATCCATCTAAAGACAGCGGTGGATGACATCACGTCAATATTCCGTAAGTCCATCCAGCAAAGGGAGACTGACCATGAAGAGGAAAGGAAAAATAGTCGCCCACTTGGGTCACAGCAGGCCCCTACGCTTCTGATTTTACCTAGGAGCTCGTAGGCTCAGGACTAGTAGGATTGATCTCGTGATTGAATCTTTTTCTGCGTATCTGAAAATGAAGCGAAGAGGGACATTCATACGAAACCCGCGTTGTGCATGGCGTTATGCGCTGCGGCCCACTGCTTTTCTCCTGGAGGGTATGCAGCAAACCCGGGTCAGATAAGCGCTGGCACAGACGGTGGGCCGATAGCAAAGCCTGGCTGTATATCATTATGTTCATCCAATATTGTGTTCTGGTTGCGCAACATACGGGCAGCAGACATTTAAAACCAATGGATCCTAGACCTGCTCCCTGCATAGCAGTTGCCTTTCGAACATATGCAAATACCCGGTCTTCCTACCCTTGAGAATAATGGCACTGAAATCGCTCCCCCAAGCGCCCCTGGCCTACATCTTCAATTTTATGGTACGGACCGGCCACCGCTGGCTCAATCTGGCCAGGGCCAGTTCTCGCATGCCCAAGCTCTCCGAGAGTAGCTATGGGGTGCCTCAAACTGTGGTATGCTCACGTTTGCGAGAACTTGTGGGATCGAGTGACGGATCACTAGCGCTGATATTTCAAGCTTGAAGCCAGGTCTGAACGGTTCGCCTTTCGTCTCGGATCTCGAAAAACTCCCCTATACAAACTCCCTCCATCATAACCTGCTGTATGGATACCGACCGGAGTTGCAGAGGTGCGAGCTTGGCCAGCAGGCGACGGCATTGATGGCTCTCGAGCCAAGGCAACGAATTTGCTTTTACCCGGGCAAAATCCACGGTGGTTACCAGGCATTCCTTTTGGACCAGTTGTTTGCAGACTGCTGCAAGCCTGCCGTCACGGCCAATTTGTCAGTGGACTTTAAGCGTCCAATCCAACCCAATTCTAGACTAATTCTCCACGTGTGGCCTGTGAAAATCGAAGGTCGCAAAATTTTTATGGAGGGATCAATTCAGGTCGACGACCAGTTGGGTGAGAGGCTGCTCTGTGCCAGTGCCTCTGCGCTCTTCATTGTCCCCCGCTGCTAGCGGCACGTACAACTCTCCTACATAAAATATTGTCTCAGAATCTCAATTCTTCGAAGATTTCTCAGTTGACTAGCAAACCACATCCGCTGTTAGACTAGAAAAGATGGCCGGACTTGTAGCACAGATAGTGGACTTAAGATACTCTGGGATGCAAGTCACTGGTCCTATCTGCTTCTCGTGGGCATAGCTCGTACAATACGGCCGAGCGTTCCAACATGAATCCTATGCGATTCCGCCATTGATTCGCACCCCAGAACTTGTACCTCAGCGATATCTATTCCTCCCTCCAGCGGTCACCTACATGGATTGTCAAGCTCTTGCCGCAGATTCAAGATATATGGCCCGTCGTCTGCAGGAAAACTCAATCGGCAGGACGGACTCGATCCCGTCAGCCCGTTCATGATTCCAATGTATATATTCACATCCCGCAGGTCAATTTACCGCGTATTTGGGGTAAGGCATGGAAATAATCATCTAAATTACATAAAGGTAAGGTAAATCATTTCACATGCCAAGGAAAGCCTATATCTAATATTCAAGTAAAAGTGACATATGGTTGTTGAGTAGTAATTCATCGCTTTTACTAACGTAATTCACAGCCGACCAGCACACACAGTCCAGCGGCACACCCCAAAACACATAATAAATGTGATATACTACCGCTTTAGATCTCAACAATCATACTAAACTTTCACTTAAATATAAGTATGTAGGCTTTACTTGGCATTTGAAATAACATACTGTAGCTTTAGGCAATTTAGATGATAATTTAGATGCTTTATCATAAAATACGCCGTATTTTTGAAGTGGGGGACATGAATATATATATCTCTCCTATCACTTCGAGTACTTTCCCTATACTTCGTCAGTAGGTGAACTATGTATTTTGGATTATATACAATTAGTATCTTCACTCAAATAGTTATGGTTGTTGAGATATAAAGTGGTAATAGTAAGTTTTTAAAATTAATATAAAAAACCGACTTCTGTAGGATAGATAAATCAAATCAAATTAAATTAAATTAATGACATTTTCAATATTTTTGTTTTTAATTTATCACATTTACTGTGTTTTGAGGTGTGCCGGTCGGCCGTGAATTACGTTATGTGTTTTAGTGTGGCTCATTTCCGTAACACCGAATTGCAATCCAGGATTGATCGTAAGATCCCCTGACAATTGGTAGTAACATTGGTGTACGAGTGCTGTCCCATGAAGTCCCCAAGACCGAACTTCAGAGACAGAGTCCTCATGCAATATTGTAAAAACACACCTATCTTAGTACTGTAATTTATTTAATAACATAGATCTGGAATTATGCGTAATTTCAAAATTAGACATTCTGGGTCCCTGTGGCACTTGAGCGAGGAAAATATTCTAGTACCGCTGTGTTATCTTCTATCCCGGTTGACGGTTGTTCGCGCAGTCACCTCAGACCAACCTGCTGTATTATTGACGTTGAAGTATATATCATTGAGTTAGAGAGGGAGATAATTACTCGTGATCTATTAATATACGACAATAGAATCATTTGATGAATCTACCTGCAACTGCGATAAAGGTATATATCTGACGTTTCGGCACACCGCCTTATTTCGGCACCTCATATACTCCGTATTCGTTACGTACTCTGTGCTCATACCAGGGATAGCTAATCAGGCTCGGAAGGCTTTGGGCTCAAGGGGCTAGAATGGGATTTGAGAAGCTGGATTCAGAATAAAGATACAAGACACGCTAAACATCTCGGCTACTGACCTTGGTATTGTAGGAAAGGATGGTAGAGCCATCGTGACGATCAGATCTATCAACGGAATCGTGCTCATTTATTACAAAGTAAATTCGGGCCTGTTATTGTACGTAGCGTACACTGTAGTGATGTGACGCTCTGTAACACTCTTTGACATCTGAGACCCTGCTGAAGCAAGGCCCTGAGAATGTCCTGATGCGACCGGTACTCGTCGTGGAGTTGCGGAGGAGAGGGCGTGTTGGCCTTTGGCGAGTTTTTCTCTTTGCCCTTGGTATAGTAGCGCTGCATATTACCCGGGCCTTGTCGGTCCTCCGGCTTTATTGCTGCGTAATCGGGTATAAACTCCTCTTGAGAGGACGAGAACATTTGAACTCTTCTCGTTGCACGATCTCGGATAAAGAAAAAGGTATCCTGATTGCAAAGAACTCCTAACTCGTGTATTTTTTTCATGACACCCTGGCGGCGTTTGAGATACGTAGTTTTCCTTTTCTGAGGATCCGAAATCCGTATAATTGGGGTAGGGCCCTCTTTCTTTCCCTTTCTTTTTTTCAGTCCCATTTCCATTTCCAAAACACGCCATTCCAACAGACTTGGCCCAAACAGACTATATACATCATCTTGGGCCGATCAGGTATGTGAAATGGAGCGAACCTATTTAGAGCTCTGGAGCAAGAATAGCATCACGGCACAATGACTTCTATTTTGGGAAGACGAGACAGTATCTCTTCCCTCGTACCCTGTGCCATCCAAAAAAAGAAAAAAAGAAATAAGAAAAAAGACTCCAGTCAGCTTGTTGAACGGCCATCGAAGACAAACATGCATAGCGCCATGTCAAAGATCCTGCGAACATCCACACGTAGTCATGTCGTATTATTAGGTATTATTAGGTCGGCTTCTCCAGGCGCCCGGACTGTGTTCTCACTCTCACTTCGTCTGTCTTCTGCTATCTTTAGAGAACATGCGGAATCTAATTTAGTTTTGAAGTTTGACCGTATGGCTCTCTACTGTACTGCACCATCCCAGTTGGCGTTGGGCTTGCCCGATGCTATATCGGAAACCTCCGTGCTGATACTGAGTCTCCGAATGGGAGACATCGGTACTTTCCAAGCAGTTCACGAGATTATCTAGTGCAACTTCAGGTACGTCTATGCTGGAGAAGATAGAAAATCACGTAAGCTTAGCTGTACTTTCTAGGGTAATCTTCCGAGCAAACTCCTTGGTCTGCCCTCAACTCTCAGTCTAGGTAGACCCGGACAGTCTTACCTGGGCACAGTTGCTTGTCTAGAGTATGATGGAAGACCTGCGTTTCAACGTCCTCATAGATGAGCTAGAACCGGAACGTTCTGGCGACACGTTCTGGCGACACGTTCTGGCGACACGTTCTGGCCGAATAGGATTGCGTCTAGTGGGTTGACAAGATTCGTTGGTCAAGATCATGATCAAAATTTGATCCTCATGAGAGGCAACGCCATCACAGACGTCCAAAGGCCCGGAAAATATCGCGCCTTTATCATCCTTTTCTCCTGCCAGAAAGCAGGCATAGCAGCCATTGAGTCTGGAGGATGTGCCGAATCTTCGGCATTGATGTCTCTTTGAAATATAGATTTGAGCGACTGTTGTCCACGGAAATACATATAACGTAAACGTCCGAGCACATTTCCCCGGCACTCTGAGTGACCTCGCCCTGTTTTTAACGGACCTACTCGCCGCACTTGGAGGCTGTTGTAGAATGGTCCGTGTGCTAGTAATGCAAGCTTTAGCATATTTGCGTAACGTGCACTGATTGATCGAAGTTCTGTTAAGTGGTGAGACCGTTCTCGATCCATATTGCCTAGACGGTGATTTTTCTGTGTGTCGAGTTCAATGTGCACGCACTGTAACGTAACTCCCGGTTAACCTGATAACCCCAAAACACCATACTAAATGCGATTTTTCAGGTCAAGGTGTATCAACAACTAGAAGCAGGTTATGTTCGATTTTGAGTAACGTGCGTCCCACCGCAACCGTGTCCCCTCGTACCCGCTCAGGATTGAGGTACTTTGGAAGACAATGCCGGCAAAGTCAACCAACTGGTGGCGGATCCTTAAGCTCAACTTGAAATAAGATTTTAATATCTTCATTATAGACTGTTCAGCTTCCACCCAAAATTACGTTGATTTGTTGGCTTATTTCATCCCAAATAAACTTTCGTTGCTAACCAGATTTCTGTGGCAAATTGTGCTAAGCTTCCATGGTCCCCAACCAGTCGTTATTTAAGAATTTAAGCTTGAAATTCTTAGTAAACAGATACCTCCGATTAATAATTACTAGAATTATAACCTCTACACACTGTCCACATCTGAAATATTTTTATTGTTTGTTCGCACATGAATTTACTAGGGTACATGGTCTGCTTATTAAGGATGGTTTATGTACAGCCCATTACATACAAAGCGTACTGAGCATGTAATGTAAAGATTCTAATTTTAGAGATTTCTGCCCACGTGCTTCTCGGGGTCAGTCGTGTTGCCCACCTCCAGAGCCAATTTCACTTTTTCCTGTCACGCCGAAACACTCTAAATCCGATGAACGAGCACAACGACCCAGCAACAACTCTGCTCGCACTAAACGAACAGTCTGAACAGCCCAAAAATTACTCTGCCCTATCGAGGTCTAGCGGTATTCCAAGCTCTACGCTACGTGATCGTGACCATGGTAGGATTTCCAAAAAGGAGCGAGCTGTGGAACAGCAATACCTTACTCCGCAGGAAGAAAAGTCGTTGCTGGAATACGTGCTACGGTTATCGAAGAATGGTTACCCCCTCCCGGTCAAATTCTTACGTGCTCTGGCCCGGGAGATCGCCCGCCGACGCTCATCACATATGCCAATCCCGGTCGCCAATGAAGACACTCGCCCACCAGGGAAGAACTGGCCACAAGCATTTTACAAACGTCACCCGGAGCTGACATCGAGGACACTAAAAGCAATAGACTGGAAGAGACATGATCACAACATCTACGACAAGGTGCAGGATTGGTTTCGCGTCATCAAGACGGAGCTGGACAATCCGGCGATCCTCGCCGAGAATGTTTATAACATGGACGAGACAGGCGTCCTCCTGAGCGTTTTGGGTGCTCTCAAGGTGTTAGTAGGGCGGGAGGAGATGTGTAAATATCGTGGTGCTGCTGTAAAACGGAAAATGGTTACTGCCGTTGAGTGCCTATCAGCAGATGGTAGGTCTCTGAATCCCCTGGTTGTTTGGCCTGCTTCTACCCACCGTAGTAATTGGACCACTTACCCCACTCCCGGATGGCATTTTGCCTGCTCAAAGAATGGATACACAGACAGCTCCATCAACCTGTACTGGATCCAGCATGTCTTTGACC